ATCGTTCGCGAGCTCGCCGTTTATTTATACGACGCTTTCCGACGGCCGCGTCACACACACACACACACACACACACACGCGCGCGCGCGCGCGCGCACCATACACCATCATACACGCACTGTGCGCGCATCGCGCACCCTATCGCTGGGACACCGCGCTCACCGCGCGCTCACCACCACTCCTCCGCGGAACAGGAAAGAACAGTGGTTTCCACTCCTCCAACTTGGGAGCTCCAACCAATGCTACGTTCGGAAATACCACCCGAATGACTCCTGACTGTCAATCATTTTATCCTTGTTGTTCATCGAATGTTAAATAGGGATGAAATGACACACGGAGCACTCGGATGATGTTTCTGAACGTAGCTCAAATTTGTTCTTTTGCGTTCTCACAAATCGCAGAAGTAACAATGATGGTTAAATGTGATTGGCTGAGTTCAGCAGGAAAAGCAGCTTTCCAACTGTAGTAAGAGTCTTTAATGTGATTGGTTTATACGTTTAGAACTACTGAGAGGAATTAAGAGGGAGAACCAGTGAGTTCTATACCGGAGTGAGCTTTCCCTATGAAAATGTGTGGTAAGATCGGCGAGTTGTTAATTTGCGTTTTCAATTTGTTGACTCGACTCGATTCAGCTCTTTCTCTCTTTATTTTGTTTTTCTCTATCTTTTTCCATCTCTTTTTTCCTCATGCTTCATTCGACTCGAAGTCAGCAAATAGAATACTTATCGAAATAATAATCGAAAAATTATAAAAATGAATGATAATAAAATGAATGATGGTATAAATAAAATTAAATTTAATTTTCAACTGTTGTAAATTTCTTTAATCTGATTGATATATTTAGATCCAATGAGAAATCAAATACAAGAATCTTTTTAAAAAATCTGAAAGATGCAGAGAAAATTATTTTCTTTGCTGAACGCAGTCATTGGTTACTACCATGGACGTGAGAATACAGTACAACCAATAGGAGCAATCCATAAAAAAAATGTATAGTCGCTAGGTTTATTCGCGGTCATATTTCTATTTGAACTCAACGAAATTAAACACGATAAACACTTATCTATTATGGAAAATTTGTGAAAAAATTAATATATGTGACTATGCTTATAACATGATACTTACTTCTTATTCCTTCATTCATTCCTTGGTTTCCGCCATGAATGGTCACGTGATTGGCGCGCACAGATCAAAGATATCGATATGGAGTGCCCATATGATTGTACTATGCGCAGGAATAATCCCCTCTACAAAATGTGTATAATTAACTTTAAGCTTTAAGCCTTAAATCTTAAACCTTATGCTGTAATGTAAGCTAAGTAATTTTTGACAAAAAGCATTTCTAGATTAATATTTTTAGGATCGTGTTAGGTTCTAAACTTTATAATTGAAATTTGATCAAGCTCTTGAGCCAATATTCATAGTTCATTCTTATTTTTAAGATTGTCTTAAGTAAGCTTGTACGGCTATCTTATTGGTTGAAGTGTAATTTTAAGACGATCTTAAATATGAAATCTTAAATATGACTACGAATACCGCTCTTAAGACTTAAAAGTAGAGATTGTGATTTAAAGCTACTCTTACTACTTAAAATAGTCGAGTGCACTATAAGCACATATTTTATCATTTATAGACCAACATCTCGTTGCAATTTAGCAATCGAACGCTCGTAGCGCTAGATCGTCGTTCTTCGCCGTGTGCTTTCATTTGCCGATGTATCGGGCGAATATGTATTCATTCAGCGATTCTTATCAATTAACTCATCATTAATTAACCGATTACTACATTGTGAAACTCGCAAAATGATAAAGGACTTTCTTACTCACTTTAAAATTCTGTTGTACCTGTATACAAGCGATCATGTATCATTAATTATGAGATATATCCTGTATATGAGTCATGACTTTCTCAAAATTATGGTTCCACATAATGGCAAAATTAGCAGTCTAATTATTGTGTAAAAATTTATTCCATTTTTCCAAATTAGTTATTAATTTCATATTGATTTAATTCTTTATTGCCAACATTATGTTTGTTTCTTAAATAACAAAATAATTATGGTGAATGTGACAGAAATATATATAATTTTGATAATATTTAATATATTAAGAAAAAAGATTCTTTCTTCTTATTATTATTCTTAGTAAGAAATAATTTAAAAAATTTGAGAGCCATTAATTATAATCAGCAATACACATATTAAATTAATTATCTGAGAACATATATTGATTAATTAATGAGTGGCTTTTAATCGAAAGCGTTAGTACATGGGAAAGCAATGATGGATCAATTATTAAAATGTTATTATAATATCACATATAATTAATATGTTATATTCTAATGAATTGTTAGACAAATTTCTTTTTATTTATTTAATATAAATTAAAAGATATTATTGTATTTTTTTGTAAATTTTAAATATCTTCAAATAATCTGCAATATTTTTAACCATTTTTCCAGTGAGAAATGATTGAAAAGATATTAATATTTAATAGATCGGGTCGGTTGATACCAAACCTCAACAACTTGCTAAGATCTAGTTTTTGTGTTGGACTAGGATAAGATGTTTATTTAGATATACGACTGTCTTTTATCTATCATAAATATTATTTTTTAAATGTATAAAAAATAGTAGTTATGCAAACATTTTAACTATGGTAGCTCGTGTTGCAACAATTAGTAATAGATATACCGAGACATTTTTCAATTGTGGATTGTACGAATAAAAGACAAAAATAATATTTTAGTCATGATATAAATTACATATTTATAAAAATAAATATATCTACTAGATACATCTACAAAATTTTAATTAGTTAAAAAATTTACATTAATATCAACTATAGATAGATAGACATTAATTACTTTTCTGATTTGTTATTTTTTGTTGGGTTAGTATACAAATTATTAATAAATTAATGATGCAAATCCAACTGTCTCTTTTTAGTGAGTATGTTAATAATGTTAATAATGTTAATAATGTTAATAATGTTAATAATGTTAATAATGTTAATAATGTTAATAATGTTAATAATGTTAATAATGTTAATAATGTTAATATGTTGACAAACTGTCAGCAGACTAGTATTAATTATATTTAGCTGTTGACAGATTGGTAGCAGAAATCGAGCAGTTGTTGGTGTAACTGACTGGCAGATTGGATAGATTAGCAGAAATCGAACACATATTTCTATTTCGTAATTACTTAAATTGCGATGATTATTAATATATTACAAAGTCTTGAAAAATAATGTTTCCATTATTTTTTTTCTTTTAAGAGACTAATTTTTATTTTAGACGCTTTTATTAATGAAGAAATTCATATATTCTTTATAGTGCAGGAAAATTTTTTTAAAAATAATATAGCCTTTAATTTCTATAATTTATATAATTACCGATTATTTCTCAAACATATTCGTGAATTATGCAGTTCACATTATGAAGAAATAGCAAATGTTATAGAAAACGCATATTTTTCGTTTATTAGTTTATTAGTTTCTAGAATAACGGTACGACATAGTCTATTATCGATTAGATGCTTAGAATTTTCAACGAGCGATTTACGATTACCTGCAATAACGATGTGGTGACATATACATTATACAGTGAATCAATAATATGCGTATCGATCATTTTATCGTAGTGCGCAATGTTACGGAAGCTTAATATCGCCATTTCATTATATATTAAGAGTTGTTAGGAGCTTCGAGAGACATAGACAGTTCATAATTAATAACACATGTGGCTTAATAATATGATATAAAGATAATATGTCTATGTGGCTTAATAATATGATATAAAGATAATAAGATTTTTCATCACACATACGTAAGAATAAAATTAAAAAAGTCAGTTATACCATATCAGTCAGTTACATATTGCACACTTTTAACTTTAAGTAATAGAATTCTATAATTTTTTAAATTTACAAATTATAATAAAAACAACTCACACCAAGAAATTTTGGAATATAATTATTTTTAATAATTGAATTATAAATATTATTATAATATATAACAGAAATTTTCAAAAAAATAAAAATACTTTTGTCATTAAATTTATATTAAATTCAAAATATTTAACTTCCACCTGATTAACCGAATTTAATCTTTTTTAATTATTAATAATATGTATTGAAATAATATATAGAAATAATATATATATATATATATGTATGAATAATAATATTAAACTAAGTTGATTTTAACTTAAACGCTCATATAATTTGTTATATCTGTTATATCTGTTATATCTTGTTATATCTGTTCATATATTGCTCTATTTTTATCCTATAATTTAAAAGCAATTATATAATACCTACACTTTTAATTGCTGTTGTATTGACAATAATCGTCAATTATGTATTTATGTAACAGGCAAATCAACGTTCAATAGACATTAATTGCATTTGCGTAATTGCAATTTATAATATTGTCATTTATATAATTCGTGTAATTATGTGTCCTCCCAATATACATAATATATTAAAAAGCACAAATATGTGTTAAATGACAAAATATTATTTATAATACATTGTTTTGATAATTTATGGATTAGAAGAAAATGAATCACTAATTATCCAAAGTAGTGCAGTAATTTATATATATATATATATATATATATATATATATATATATATGATGATAAATTGAATACTGTTTGTTCTCTATCTGTACGCGAAATTACTTGGCGTGGAGTTGTTACACGTAACTTTAACGTTGCCTTACCGTATAAATACGATGCTCTGACGGCCGGACTAGTCACGATGAGAAGGAAAAAGGGATTCAGGAGAGATTCGATGGTTACGATATATAATATTTATAAGCAAACCGTTGTGCCACTGGCATCGGCGCAGGCGTGACCATCGTCGCTTCATTGCGCCATGTCGTTCATACCATATTGTCTTGTAGCATCTGCTACCCCGAAACGAGACAAAAGTATCGTTAGTTCATTCGTGTGACCGTAATCAATTTCGCTATGTCAACGAGAACGTCGCCCATATTGATTCTTTTCATTTCTTTTCTACCATTTGTGTTTTGTCAAACGCCAATGGATTTGAGTAAGTACGACGTTCATTCGCGGGAAAATATGTAAGTGGTGCGGTACCGATTGTTTTTTTTTTTTTTTTACCTGTTTAGCTATAATTAAATTATCAATATTGTGTGTATTTGATAAAATATATTTTTTACTAGATAAAGATTTTATAATTTTTATTTCTAGCATTAAACTAACGAGTGTTTAGCGTTTAGCTTTATAAAATTTATTTCTTGCGTGTAAAATAACAATTTTAAAATAATATATAGTTTATAAAAATTAAAAAATACAAGAAAACTTAGTAATGTGATCAACGATTGACATTGATACGTTTCTCTCTTATTTTCAAGTGGTCGTAATAGAAGAAGCCGATTCGCCTATATTGAGTATATTAAATGACGCGGTTCCAGAGGCAGAACGAAATTTCGCTAATGATATGATTACTGTTCATGTTTCTATCGTTACAGTAAATCGCGAGAATGTAGATGCAAGTTTCGAGAAAGGTATTTTCATGTATTTTATATAAGTCTAAAAATATTATTCAATTCTTATTTTTTAATTCCAAAATATTTTGAGAAAAATATTGTTACATATTATATTTTATATAATATAAATATAAATAAAATTATAAATATAAATTAAATATTTAATATTCATATAAATTAAAATTATTATGAAATTTTTACTTTTTATTTTCAAGATAT